TTAAACGGTACTTTGTTTTGTTGGTCCTACTTGTGCGCCCACGCAATTTTTTTCACCTCACCCACCTTTTGGCCAGCTCACGTGTGACGGCGAGTTACGGTATCCTCTCTTTAGAGGAGGGCGTAACAATAATAAAAAAACAAGATGTATATATATTTTTTCTGGTTGAAGGCGGGGCCACGCCCCACGGCCCACTATGGACCAGCCGCCACTGACTGAGAACTTAAAAAGGCACTGAGCCGCAGTGTAAAGATTGGTTCCTTCAGTTGAAGGACAGAGAACTTCCCCCCCCTTGGAAATAGGCTTGTGATCAGAGAAAAGTTACATTTCTAGTAACTAGTTGAACTCAGAAGCAAAGTTATGACTTTTGCAAAAATCTCCTGCTGGGCTTTTATTTTAAATTAAATGAAGCTATTATTTTTTTTTTCCCGTTTTCATTTTTGGGATAAAATAGTCAAAAGAAACGTATAAAAATGTTATACATTGTTTTGTTGTACATATTCTAAATAAAAGCTAATCTATAGACTACTCTGAAAACCTAGATTAAACAAAACGAATATTTGTTGTCATACACAGAAATGCGTTTATGATTGATGTGTGAAATGTATGTTGTTGGTGTCCAATGTTATCTCTGTACGGTTGCTAGTGAGGCACCAAAATGTGTGTTATTTATTGTCTGGTAGTCGTAAATACCTTACGCCACTGGTCTTAGTCTTTTGTTAGCCTTAGGTTGTGTTATGTTAGCTTTCATATTGATAAGGGATATTGATAAGGGTATCATATAGTGTGATTAGCTTGAATGGTTATTAGAGGAATGTTTCTTTCTTATTTAAACAACCGTGTTCATAACATTATAATAGATACTTGAGTAAACGCACTGCTCTTACCGAGGTATTACTTCTATAGCTAGTTAATTTCCACTAACAATACAAAAACTGAATCAACTAGACACACAAATATACGTAGGTGTCTTTGTCTGTTCGAACATGTGTATATTCAGTATGTCCATGGCGCTGTGAATGAAAAGGTGTGTGTGTGTGTGAGGGTGTCCTCTAACTAAATGGACAGGTCTAATCACCTCAGAGGGAGAAACCTCTTTTCCCTTCCGCCGCCTCTTAACATTAACGGATATTAACGGCTCCCGACGCTCCTCCGTCTCCTACTGAGGAATGAAATACATCACTAATGGTTTATCACAAACATGGCTAATGCTTGATGCAGACCTCTTACCATCAATAAATGATGGCATGTAAAGGGGGAGGGCGGCTGTGAGAGCTGGCTGGCTGGTCTAAAGGTGGGGTCAGTTGGACCAGTTTCAGATATCAAACATAAGAGGAATGCACGATTTGTCTCATTTTGTAACAATGGGGGGATTGATCCGTTTTTGCCATTTGTGGCAAATAAGAATTGGGGATTTATTTTTCTAATTTGTGAGAAACACATGTACTACTGTTTACTCAATGTGGTTTACCAACAGCAGTTAGTCCAGAAGACTGAATCCGGTTTTTATGTCCGCTTGGGATCACACATTGCAAGTGTTGGCAATATGTCAAATGTTAGTGTATTTCAAGAACTTCAGGACGC